GCCCTGGAACAGGCTGCCCTGAGAGGTTGTGGAGTCTCCTTCTCTGGACATCTTCAAAACCCGCTTGGACGCAGTCCTGTGCCACGTACTCTAGGTGACTCTGCGTGTGCAGGGGGGTTGGACTAGATGACCTCTAGAGGTCCCTTCCAACCTTAAGCATTCTGTGATTCTATGATACTATGATTTAAAAACACCAGCACTTCAAATGAAACTGTAAACATTTTTGCATTGGTACTTCTCATATCAAATTACTGAAGCAAAAAATATCATCAGATATCCTTAGGAAAACACAAGCAAAGTGATTTACCAGCAACAGTTGGCAACCTGCTGCTCTGTACCTAACCTTTTACAAAAACACAATGCTGAGGGGAAAAACAGAAACCCCAGAATTTCATTTTACCTTTTGCATTATTTTAAACATTTTTGCATTGGTACTTCTCATATCAAATTACTGAAGCAAAAAATATCATCAGATATCCTTAGGAAAACACAAGCAAAGTGATTTACCAGCAACAGTTGGCAACCTGCTGCTCTGTACCTAACCTTTTACAAAAACACAATGCTGAGGGGAAAAACAGAAACCCCAGAATTTCATTTTACCTTTTGCATTATTTTTCTTGCAAAGCATCCTTATTTTACTTTCTTCCAAATTAGCAGCACTTGAACTTGGAGAATCTTCCTGTCTAGGCTTTAAAACAAAAGGTTAGTTAAGTTACTGTGATGCTGTTTGTTAACACCTTGCAAAGGAAAGAAATATATGCAAAAGTACTGCTGACACAGTAAAACATGCCAATCAAATTAAATTCAAATTACCTTAGGCACCTCAAATGGGACAGCCTGACCATTTCTCTCTAATATATTAGCCATTAAGACTAATGTTTTCTCACGAGGAACAACATTTTCTTCTTGAATTTTAGTCCAAATAGCTTCAGCCTTTCTCCAGTCATCGTTGTTGTCTGAAAAAGAGATTCAAGTCTTCAAATCAAAGCATGTTTACAGTATATGCACTTATCCAGAGTGATTCAGAAATGGTATCTTTGGTAAATACTTCATCAATTAATCACATATTTCTATTTCATATGTGAATCAACTTGAAATGTTCCTTTTCACTGTTAGCCTACAGAAAATATCAGAAGATGCAGATACGTAAAGAAAAAAATGATTGTGCAATTTTAAATCAATGGGAAATTGTCTAAAATATTTCAATTTTCCTCCAATCTCAAAAATGTTGCATGACTACTCACAAACTCAGGTCGATTCACCAGATCTCAACAAGAATAACAATTAATGCAAAGCTGTACAAAACTACAAACAAAGAAGTTGGACGTCCTGTCAAAGAAAAGGCTTCCTTAGCATTAAACTTGCTCACTTCAGCTCTACAAAAGAGGTGGTGAACTCAGTGACTTGAGCCAGAGAGATGAGTGGATTTAAGAAATGGATGACATAGATGACCTTTTTTCTGGACAGATTATTATGGCAGTTTAAACAAAGAAAAACAGAGAAGGGATTTTTCATGTGTTTGTCCCATTATTTGGCACTTAGACACATCTAGAGCATTGTACCAGTTTTGGGTTTGACAAAACAGATGCTGCCAACACTGCCAATTCGGTCATCAAAATATTTAGGAAGTTTTCAAGCAAATATAGTAAAAGTTGAGAGAGGTGAATTTTGTATGACTTGGAAAGAACTTGCTAACAGGGGGATCCAGTTTTCTTCAACCAACTAATCAAGGATTGTAAAGAAAACCGGGTCAGACTCTTCTTGGGGGCACACAGTAAAGGACAAAACCGACAGTTACAAATTGGAGCCAGGGAATTTCTGAGGCTGGTCAAACTCTGGAATAGGTAATTCAGAGAGGCCGTCAAATTTTCCTCTCTTGGAGGCACTCAAAATTCGGCTAGACAAGACTTTGACCTCATCTACCTTTCAAGTTGTTCTAGCTCAAAGCAAGGGTCTGCCCTACATAAACTTCTAAGGTTCTCTCCAACACAATTTTTTATGTGATTCTACCTAAATGGATGTTTTGTTCTTATTATTTTTGATCACAGCTTGGACTCAACTGTAGATTTTTATTTCACTATACTTAAAATAGAGCTAAAGTTAAGGTTTATGCACATGCTGACAACTCTCTTCCATACTGCTGCATGGGGCAGCTTTGACAGATGAGCTAAAATGGTTGAAAGCAGGAGTGTGCATGGTTTTTGTCTTCCATGGTGACAGAAAGCCACAAACGTTTTCCACCTCTTTGAATAGATGAAATTGGTTGTGTCTTTTCTCGCTGACTGAAGAATTTGTGTGACAGAATTTGATAAACTGTATCTTCTTAGATTCTCTTCCCAGCAGACAGACTGTCAGACTGAGTCACTGCTGGAGGGGAACGGGCTGCTTGTGAAGAAATAGGAGGCCTCCCTCCTGTTGAGACAAGACTGTTTTTCAGGCCCAGTTACTTTATGATGGGAAACCAGTATGCAGAAAACCAGAACTGAGTGATGCTACAGTTGGCTTTTGATGCTTTGTTAGGCTGCTTGAAAAATAAGAAGGAACATAAAGAAAAAGTTCTCATAGGACCCCCAGCCTTCTCTCTCTCTCCTCTCAAACATCTCTTCTGCTTGTGGTAAGTCCAAGGGGGAAACCCTTCTTGAAATATGAAAATGGAAAGGAGTCTGTAATAGTATTTTATCTAGAAAAATGACGTTCTAATTTAATTAACCAAGAATATGAACAAGGAACAGCCTAAAGTTCTTTTAAACTTGGATGTGATTTTTCCCTTGAACCATTAAATCAAATTACTGATTTTTTCCTTAATAAATATATAGGACACTACATTTCATGTAATCATTCTCAAGTTCACGGCAATCTAATGCTAGTTTGTTATAATGTATGATACAAAAAATACACTAAAAAACAGAGAGAGAAAAAAAAACCCAACTTTCACTCAAAAAAATTTTGCTCCAGTTTTGCTCATGCATAATACTGAAGTTAGGTGGTAGCTGGTTAGGTAAATAGAAAAAAATCATCACCTTTCAAAATCATATCTAATTACAGCATATTCCAAATTAAAACAAACAAATTAAATCGGAACATGACAACATGGTATGGAAGACTTGTACTGTGTAAGTTCTGTGATGCTGCTATGTTGAGGTCTGCAGATGCAGAACTCAACTCAGAACATTCCCACTTAAGAAGCATCAAAATTGTACCCATACTAATTCTACATCAGGTTGTCTCTTCTTCGATTCAGGGTTATTTCCAATTTCCAGCTATAACAAAACAAATTAATGAGGATTACAACAGGATCAGTTGTCAACTTACCACACAGCTGAAGGAGACAGTAGTACATCTCATCTCTATCACACTCAAACAGATTTTGAGTTAATTCTACCAAGTTTTCCAAAATCTCCATCTTCGAAAAGAAACAAGAAAGAAAATTTGCAAAACACAGCCAAAACAATTATTTCTCTAGTTATATGCACTTACATGCACATACATATGCATGTACTCATCGGTACATTCCACTAATATAATATTTCGTTTTAAATATACACCAGTGTTTACAAACAAGATTAAGTTCACAACAGCATGACTCATGTCCTTTCACAAAGTTATTCTTGGAATACAGTTCCAGTTATGAAGAAGTGTCGTGTACCTGATTAGATGAGATGCACTTTTTTGCAAACCACTGCAACCTTCCTGAGTGTGCTCTCAAGCCTGGAGTCTGCAAAATAACATTTCCAGAAGAAAACAAAACAGAACAAAAACTTCAATTAGAACATCATCAGAACATCCTAAATATGTAGTCAAAATGTAGTATGTAGTCAAAACGAGAGCACACATTTCTCTAATATGAATGAGACCACGAGTTCATAAACAATCAAGTTCCACTTAAGAGAGATTTTGATATTTATTTTTTCATTTTGACTTCTTTTATTGTTGTTCAGTAAGAAAAAGATAATTAAATACAGAGTAGTAACTGCACTGTAACCAACTGCAAATGCTAGGTGTACTAACTGAGAAATTCCTGTTCCAGGGAAGAACAGAATCTTACTCTGAGTATTTCTACAAAGAAAATGACATAATATACTTAATATGCTGTAGATGTTTGTCATTAACCTTCCTTGGTTAGATGAGCCTTTGCTTATCCATTCCTTTGAGTGAACTAGAGCCACACAATACATATTCTCTAATAAGTTTTAAGTCTTTGGAAGCTCTACCTACTATAACAGACCACCACAAATACATCAGTCTATCCACTCTCAACAGTAACATATCTTAAACATATTTTAAGAAAATTTACAATTCTTAAAGAAAAATGTTTCAGGTGTTCCACTGCCTAATTCAATAGCATTTTTTAAAATTATAGAAAAACAATTGTGTGCAAACCTCTTTTTCCTCACTTCCACTCAAATTTGCTTTCTTTCTCTATCACTGTCTTTTTTCAGCACAAAGACCACTCATGGAAGAGAGGACTCTGCTTTCAGCTCAGGGGTCTAGATTCACATTAATACAGCAGAAAGTGATTCCAAGAAAATTCCCGCTCATCCTGATATAGAAGCATGCTACCCCTCTGACTCTTGAAGGGCTTTGGCTGTTTAGAAATCTCTTCTGTTATAAAGTGCAATTTCTACAATTTGAACACTATTTTGAGAGGAGGGAAAAGAAAAAAAAAGGCAAAAGGCAGTTTGAACAAAAGCTGCAAAAATACTGAATCTCTGTTCCAAAAAAGTGCAAACAATTACCATAGAAGAGCTAATGTATCTTCTGGCTTTTTGACACACAGGAATAATATACTTTTCCCTGTCATCTCCTCAAACACCTGAATTTGTAAAAGCGTAATTTTGTAAATCTTTTGTAATTACCAATTAGCTCTTCCTGAGATAATTCAACTTACACCAGGAAACCAGCACATAAAGATTCAGTTAAAAATATTAAAGTTAGCTAGAGATGTAGGAAATTGTGCTTTGCCGAGTAAATATCAGGGCCTATCATCCTCACCGTCACTCATCCAAACCAGTTTTTGCATTCATGGAAAGGAGTTTAAAACCAACCAAACAAGCAAGTCCCCCTCCTCAAACGTCAGGGCACTAATCCCCCAACCCAGGTCCTGAACATGCACAGCCTTGAATTTCACTGTACTGGAAAAACAGTTGTCAAACTAGGGGTTATAGAAAAATACTGGCTTCTCATGTATTCAAAACTGGCATAAGATAAAATCTAAATGGAAAAACAAACAAACCAAAAAACCAAACTATCTGCAAAGTGAAATTGTGTTTATCCCCATTATTCACGTTTATAGGTAACTGTTTGGTGCTTTTTAAGCTCCGCTGAGCCATTATACATAAAATATGCTGAAAAGGGAGTCAAGAATTAACATCTTACACAACAGGCTCTTGAAAATGAAAAAGAAAATAGTATGTTGCTTGCATTTGTAGCTAATCCTCTTTGGGACATGGCAAAATTCACATGCGGAATTCACTTACAACTTCCAATATCATTGCTGATCCGAATGCCAATGAACTCCACAGCTCCAAAGCTACAAACTTTTTATAGTAAATCCTTTCCTGTTCAGAAATGATTGATGCGTCTGTCACTACACGGACAGCTGAGTTATACAACAGATATCCTTGTGTTTCATTTTGAAATTGAGAAGTGTTTTCACATACTGCAGGTCTCAATCATCAAAAGAACATCTAGGTCAGATTAACTAAATCTCCAGGGCTTGCCTGATAGTCCATATTTGTAGCTTATCCCTTACCATCTTAGGGAATTTTAAACATTACATTTAGCAGGAAGCTGCCTTGCCACAATATAGCAGGCTAAAAGAGAGAACAAAAAATGCAAGAACTATATAAAATTTTGGTAAAAATCTGTTACTCTAATTACTCTTTCCAATTCTAATTTAAAACTCTGCTCTTGTCTGTTTCAATAGAGCTATAATTTTGAGTTTATTAATATTTTTACTATATTTTGTCTTTTTCTGCATTTTAAAGAAATTCACCACTTTACAGAGCAGAATAACTACTGAGAGTCTCAAACAGTTCATACAGTGTTTAAGCTAAACCTGCACAGTTTGGTTTTTTAAATTTTCTTGGAATATAAAGCAGCTGTACGATACCAGACCAAAGGTTCAGCTAGCTTTTTATCCTTCTCCTAACAGTGCTCAGAAGCAGATGTCTATAGGAGAACCCAAAATGGAGGCAAACCTATGCCATGCTTCCCCCAATGCTCTCCCATTCCCCAGCTATTTGTGGTTCAGTGGTTTAGACTGTTTCTAGTAAAGGATTCCTCTCCCAATTGACTCTTCTGGTTGCCTCTAGAACCCACAACACTTTTGGTAAAACCTTCTACTCCTCAACCACTCTGCACTAAAAAAAAAAAAATCTGGTGAAAATACCCCATGGGTTCTTATCTTTCCCAGAAAAAAATCATTTCAGATGAACCGTGGAAGGGTTCACCTGAAATTTTATTCTGCACTTCTATTCAAGAATTTTTTTTTCACATACATATAGGAATGTGAAGATGATTATTGTGTTGTTTTAACCATCCAGCATTGCACCTCCACATAGCTATTGCTTCTGATGTTTGGCTCAGTCCCAACTGGTTGGCAACACACTCTAGTCATCTTCCTGACAACTTATTCTACTCCTTCACAATGACAGAAAACATATAGTTATTCATATTTAGTCTTTTACTTTCTTCCCAACAAACTCCATATAACTTCTTTTTAAGGGACAGTTCCATTTGACTAAGACTATTCAAAAGAAACAGCGTAATTTTATAAACCCCATCAGTACCGCACTTTGGTGGCATTTTTTTGGACAGACAGCTCTATTCATCCCTCTTTTTGCAGCTGAATAATCCAGTAATAATAAGAGACAGCCAATGCTGCTAAGGAAGAAGGAAGTTTCACAATGAGTCACATCACAGCCGCTACAGACTTATGTTCCCAGTACCAGAACCAGTTACCGAGATTTAGATGCCAAAGCAATGTGGTGCAAGAAAATTTGTTCCTTTTCCAGACAGACAGCCTTACATAGACAGCTATAGGAACTGATGTATGTCATTCCTAACAGTTCTCTTCAACATGACCATCACTGAAAATAACAGGTGATGGCAAGTTTGTAATTTAAAAATAGATTTTTTTTTCCTTGATTCCACAAAAGTTTCTATAATATCTCACAAACTCCATGACATTTCAATGAAGCTAGAAATACTTTTGCACAGCTACACTATTGAACAAGGTTTGTTTTGCACTGAATGCTAGTAACTTAACACTTGCTTGACTCTATGCTAACTCTCGGCCAAATTCCTCACTTCCACAAATCAATGAATAAGTAGGAAAAGGCTTTAAACATCAGCCTTACTGATGACAAGTGAGTCTGAGGAATTTTTATGTATCTTTGGAATACCCCAAATTTCACAATAAGATTGCTGAAAGAAATTATGAAGTCCAATATTACTCTACAAATTCATTAAACAGTAAGAGAAGTTCACAAAAAGTAATTGTGCTTAAAGAAAGGGTGAAGTCAAAAATATGCAAAAACCCTTCTCAAAAAATGGATTCATCGAAGTTGTTTAGGGCTCCGAAATGTGTTCTTTGCATTTCAATGTGGATTTATGGTTTAGGTTATATGATGAAACCTAAAAGCATTATAAACTCAGTATTATCTTCTCTCTAATAAAAATTCCCCAGGGCTAAGAAAGGATGCATGCCTCTTACCATGACCCCATCTTTCAAAGACTCTCTCTTTGTGAAGTTGTTCAATAGTCATCTCCCTTTGCTTTTCTACCAGTAGCAAAAATTTACAACTCACTTAAAACAAACAAACAATGCCCCCCTCCAAATCCCCATAACTTCTAAACAACATGCTCTAAACCAACACACACATATTGACCTAATGCACACCTACATCCATGAACAAAAACAAAATATAATAGCTGTATCAGAGTCCAGTTCCACATGGAGAAGTAATACTTTTATTAGACTAATGGGACACAGTAATAAGAAAAAAAAAACTCTTTTCTTTTAATTATAGGGCTTGTGTGCCTGAAAGCTCTTCATCCTTTCCCCTCCTTCCTAGCTGTATACAGTTACTCTAATAAAAGCTATTACATCTCTGTATTAACTACTCCTCAGTCCCAGACCACTGTATCTATAGCTACCTTTCTATTACAATTTGCATTAAGCTTTCAGAACCATTTATATTTTGTTCTAATCATCTCTCCTCTCAACTGCACCAAAAACTCTATGTAGCTCAATCATTAAACCACACATTAAAAACCTAAATCCTGCTGCTCCAAATCAAGAAAGCATCTTCTTCCAATAGTTTTATCTCCAGCATAAAATCAGCAAAACTCAATTTTATGATGTAGATTTTTTTATAAAACCAATCTGGATGAAAGAGGGTTGTAATCTCTCAATATCAAGTAGAAATACTCTCGATTGTTTTATGGTAGATTAAATTCAATGGCAATTGGTATCTTGAGGTCTACTGAGAGTGTATGTCAAAATTCTTTGCTTAAATCTATTTACCTCCAGAATTAACCTGACATCTGTTGATGGATATATTCCTGTATTTTAAACTTCAGACTCACTCCAAATAGTTCTGTATTTGCCATTGAAATTTAAGATGTAACTTTTCTTTTTTTTTTTAAACTCTTACTCACATTGGAAAGACACTGCAGGAAAATGATTTCCTATTCATTTATCTCTCAATACTTCACAAACACATTTTTTTAGTGAGATAAAGTACAAAATATCTAACTATAGGGTAGAGAACAAGAAAACTATCCACAGTTTGATCCCGATAAAAGGAATTCTGAAGCTGTGCACTATGCACTCGAATTTCCAGGGGAGGTTCCCCTTGCAGTAGCAACCCTGCATAGCCCAATTTTTACAGCAATTCTGCCCCCCGTTTCTCTCTGGCACAACCACCTCTCTGCCTTCCCCTGCAGGAAAACTACAAATGAGACAGAAACAAGAGCTGTAACTCTTCTACTGGAGGAATCATTTTAACTTCTTATCGCATTGAACATTTCATCTAGAAAGATTGTAACTGTAATAAATAACCGTATAAATATCTGTAATAAAAAGAAAGCCTAGCTTTGCTACAAACTTCCTAGTGTGTGTCAGGAGAGTAATAAGCTTCTCGAGTGATTAAAAATACCAGTGATTCAAAACCTGCTTTTTGCGTAAGTATTTTGCTACCCATGTTACATCTCCTCACCCCGCAACATCTTCCTTACCTTAAAAAGAATAAAATTAAAGTTGTAGAAATCCTATCTTGACAGTACAGTGCTTACAAAAAGTGAGTATTAAAATAAATGCTAACATGCACCTTCTTAGAAAGGTCTAGGAAAAGAAGAAATTATGTTTACAGATTCTTGGACAAGTGTAGGGGCACAAATGAAAGAAAATGAAAGAAGATTTCAGAGCTGCCTGCTTGTTATTTTTAAATATTTTTAAATGTGTTCTATGAAAAGAGGAAATATTCACATTTTAATCCAAAAACTATCTTAGGGAGTATTTTTAGCTCACTTAAAACTATCCAAGTCGATAGGCAATGCCATGTATACGTAACCTCTGAAGACACAAGTGAGCTGCCCTTCCAACAAATGATCTGAATGGTGATGCATAATATTAGGACAGTGCTTTTTAACAGAGGAGACAGATTACTTGACTCATGGGAGTCTTCAGAAAAAGATTTCCACCATAATTCATTACACACTTCTTGAGAAGTTCTCAAGAACCCTCTTAGGAAAGGGTTACCTAACAAGATGGATAGGGTTATCAGAAGAGGGAGGAAGTTTCCGGCAGCTTCTGCCCGTCCACGGAGCCATCCCAAACCCCAGCTACCGCTTTCCTGCACATACATACAGTAAGCTCAGAACCAGGAACCTCAGCCTGTTAAGGCACCGGAAGAGATTAAAAATTAAAGACGCTGGTCAACGCTTTTACAGCAAGCAATCAAAATGATTAACTGTGTAAGGTAAAACACTCCATTCTCCTTTATTTCTTTCTTTGGAGTTGTGATAATGCGCCTTGTTTTTAAAAGGACTTCATATCTGAATACACAAATTTTTGATAGTTTACTTACTTCTTACTTCATATCTTATGCAGTTAACCTCTACTTCTGATGGAGGCTGATTCCAATCACAAATGGATTCATGACTAGTACAGAACTTCGTCTATTTTAATCATGGGTGTCAAGTGCTTTTTACTTCTTGAAAACATAGTTCAGACTTTTTTAAACACATTTTAAGCACTGATTGCTTGAAGTACTCCTGCTGCAAGACTGCAGGAGTACTTAAACACACATAAATCCCAATTTCCCAGTTCTGATAACATGGAAGGAGCTATGGCTTGCATGGCAAATAGAGGCATTTGGTTCTAGCAAATTCCCTGATCTTTTACATAGATGGCAAAGTGCTGGCCCAAGAAATTTTTTGACTCCAGGTTCTATGAGTATTTACCAGCTCTGGAACAGTATGCATGAAAAACTACCCAAGATGTCTGAGAAAATCTGGCTAGATGATATCAAAATGAGAACACATTTGCTACCAGACCACATATGTGCACAACTCTGTGACCTAATTCTTATCATCTCACTCAAATCTTCCCCCTTTTCCAGTTCTACTATTGTTACTCAGTTGTATTTTACTGAAGATTGAGACTTTGGTTACTTACGTTAGCCCAGGGCCGTGAGTTCCAAATGTTTAAGAGCAGCAGCTCTGACTAGTTTCCAAATAAGCAGCCAGTGGACATGTCATTTCCACAAGTGGCAGGGGCACTCTGAGGCAGTGGTCCTCAGTGTGCACCACTCCATTTAACAGATTATACTGCTGCCTTGGCTAACCCTTGAGATTCTCTTATAGCAAATGACATTAATAAAATCAGTTGACCACCATAATCAGCCGCACATGATAAAAGTAAATGCTGAAAGGTAATCCGTGCCTAATATGCAACTCACTCCTAAAAATAGAAAGTGACCCCAAATTTAATCATCTTTGCTGAATACTATTTCACACGACAGGAAAACAGAGAACCAATCTGCTGGCCAACAAGAGAAGGAATTTGAGTGCAGAAACCACAGGATTAGAGAAAAGGATAAACACCGGTACTCCATCTTCCACATTATAAGCATTAAGGCTTCAACAACAAAATAACCTCCCAATGAAACCAAAACAAAAGCAAATAGTAAATTTTTTTTGGGTTAAAACCATAAATGCTACTTGCTGCGTCAGTGAAATACTAATTCTAAGATTTTTTTTTGATTTTCAGAAAAAAATAATACATTGTTATATTATGTGCTATATTTTAAGTACAGTTGTAATTCATTTTTTAACGCTTCCTCTACTGGTAGAATACATGCATAATATTCCTAAAAGGCAAATTTCTGTATTCAGAAATTTAAAGGAATTTAAAATGTCTTCTCAGAAGCATATGCAAAGCTCAAATTTGGACTTTCTGGAAGCTAAGTAAGACCAAGAAATCCTAATCTAAAAAGCATAAGTAATAAAATAAGAGAGCAAAACTTCCATTTACTTTCCAGACACTAAGTGTACTGTGCTACAACCAAGTCTGGATGTTAGTGATTACTATTACTTTAGGATCACCAATTTTCATGAAAAAATACCTATTAAAGAGGACAAAATTTTCAAGTAAGAATAATTGTGATTATTCTTACTTGGAAAGTAATCACTATCCTATTTGTGACTGCTGAACTGCAGCCATTAAAAGAAATGTTAAGAAATTAACAGTCACAGTATTGTGAAAAACTGAGTATGACGAAAACATGAGCTAAACTACACAAAGTACCAAGTCTCTTATTCATTTATCATTATTTTTTTCCATTTCTCACCAAATTTTACCCTTCTTGTCCCTCCTGTACATTTTAATACTGTTAAAAATACTCTCAAATTCTCAGTGAGTCTTCTTCTGTTCAATATTAATATTTGCATTCTTAAGATATCATGAGGTCCAAAAAAACCTTCTCAAAACAAAATATCAATGATTGCTTTCAGTAGTGCTCCGCATTTTTTTATAGCGGAACAATACTGTTTCAGCAAGGAGATCTTTAAAGATTTTATAAAATGCCAGAATTCTGTTAGATAGAAATTCAAACAAATGTAAGTGGTATCTCAAACATTTTAAATGAATTCTGAAAAAACTACTCGGTCTTACGAGGGAAAAAATAGACAAAAAATAGGTCAGAGTTGTATATGTACATAATATAAAAATGAAGAGGACAAAATACTGCCTCTCTGCAAGATCCCTCCTCCCACATGTATGCTGGAAACCTTATGCAGCATTTAAAAACCATACAACTGTGTTAAAAATAAATCACAATCTGGGCAGGCTCTGCAGCTGCCCCTTTGACTTATCAATTTCAGCAAGCACAATTTCAATCAAGTCTAGATAAAATATACTAATCCTAAATAGACCAAGTTTGTCACCTACCACTTGCTATAAGCTGCTTACTATACTGAAAAAGAGAGAAGGAAGAAATGCTAAATTAAATGCCAAACAGTAGCAGACAGCACTTGTTTGGCTGATTAACTTGTAGACAAGCATTACAAATAAATCTGAGCATGGTCTGCAGCAAATTAAATTCCAGTGCTTTTAAGAACAAAGAACTCGTTCGGAAAGAGGATTAGCAACTTTACACCCAGGAATGCTGGTTTAATTTAATTGTTCCACAATCCGATATTTAATATGCAAATATCATTTTGATATATAACAGCAAATTTGACAAAGTAAGGAAACAATTTCAATATACAACCAGACTGTCTCTTCTGAACTGTAATTATACACAATAAAGCTGGTCGAGCTATTTTTTTCCCCCCTCATTATTGGGATTGAATTTTATTAACATGAATCAGAACAAGTCTAATTAAAGGTTAAAAACTTTAAATGTTTCTAATTAAGAGTCTAAATAGCTGCACAATTAGAGCACTATAGTTAAAATCCCACCTCAATGACCTTCCTGGCCTCTTTGTATTTTCCTGTTTGCAAGAAGGCAAAGAAGAGATCATAAAGAGCCATCATGTCACCATATTCTCTGCTTATAAAATCTGAAACTAAAAAGAGAATAAGCTTCATTAATTTACTAAACATATTGAAATATTTTAACACATAGCCAGACATTAACAGTGAGATTCTCAAAGAGAAAAAAAAAGAAAAAAAGGAATAGTCATTAAGGAAATAAACTTTGCAAAATTAGAAAAAAAAACAATATATTACATAAACTGTTGCAGTTTGGCAATTGAGCAAAAGCGAGTGCTGTATTTTGTAGTTATTACCATCAACAAATTAGGCAGACTATACAATGGCACTCTACTTGTGTACAGAAAGAATTTCCCAACTTCACAACTATTTCAGACAGATGAGAAGCAGTTCTTTTTTTAACAGTAATATGTAGATAAAAGATGTAGATTCATCATTACTGTTAGCTTGATGCTCTAGTATTTAAACATTAGGATTCTCTGTATTTAAAATTATTACCAACCTTAAACCATAGGAAAAAATGTAGGTATCATTTAGCTGCTTTAAGATTACACATTACACACGTGGTTTTTCTTTCTTTCATTTGAAAGAAATGATATACAGATTGTGAAAGAAAAACCTTCAAAGTTTTTATATCATCAATAGACAGGATCTGACTATATGCAACTAACCCTTTTGCAGAAGATCAGCATCTCCTTTCTCTATCAGTCTACAGTAGATGTTATGAAGCTGCAGAATTTTGCCATGCTTCTTGTAACAGTCCATTAATGCTTCGAAAGCTGCAGGCATGTCATCCCTAGTGGAATGAAACAAAGCACAAGATAAAAAGCAACTAAATACTACAGAAGTAAAATATAACCTGAGTAGTGCATGCTGAATATACTTTTTTTTCTTGAAAATACCAAGGAAAGTTCATGCATAAGTACAATACAAAAGAGTATTTCAAGTAAACCCCAGTTACTTGTATACTGTAATATGAATTTCAAATTAAATTAATTCTTTACAGTAAACTGCTACAGGTAAAGTTTTTCCTAAACACAAATACTATTCATTTCTGTGGCTACCTAGCATGTAAACACAAGTACAGTTTTATCCTTAAAGCTCTTAACTGTATAATTTTGAGTGCATGATCATGGTTCACTACTAATTCATCACCATCAAAATATTCCAATGATACACATGTAATTGCATTGGATTTTTTAAATTCTACCGTATATTATTGTAAAAATTACAGGGCAATTTTGTTTTTAAGACTGTTCTTAAATACAAAGAAAGCTTTTCTTCTCAATAAATACATTGTGCACCTTATATTACCTCCAAATATCTCTGTTTAGACATTTTCAGTTTTCAAGTACTTTGAAATTTATCCATAGCATTTTTCTTTGCACTATAGAACTCCAGCGTTTTAACTAAGTTAACCATAGCTCGTTATATCGCTTTATACTTGCTTCATACCTTTACACACAAAATAATTTACTAGTATTTACTAATCATCACCTTGATTTCTATTTTCATGCTTTTCTCACAGTTGTGGGACTAGTATTTTTCTATTTTTACATAAAGGTCAGAATCCTTCTTTTTTTTTTTTTTTTTCTCCTCTCTCCTCAATAAAAATGTCATTTGCACTGAATTAAACAATTCAGGTCCCAAAAGGTTGACCTATGTATGTCATGGAGCACAACTATATGAGCTGTAAAGCCACAAAGAATCAGATCAAGAATTAAAAATATATATATATAAAAAAGCAAATGCAACTTTTAACACCATAAACGACGTAAGAAATAGAAGTCTTTCTTGAAAGGATTCCAGCCCAGTCAAAAACAAAAAGACGGTTTAAACAGTGATAATATGTGAAGATATTCTTTGAAAGAGAAGATTTAAATTTTAATGAATCACACAAAGAAGTCACATACAAACTCTAATAAGGGGCCATATTTCAGTAAGACTTCACTCTAGGTTTCAGAAGTCTTAGCAAAGGGGGCCAAATTAGGCAAGGGGGAAAAAAAAAAAATAAGGACCCACTGAATAGCAGCAGTTAAAAGGACATTTAAAAAAAAACTTGAAATGATCATTTTGAATTTCTGAAGCAAGCTTGTTATTGATCAACTGAACCCCAAATTAAAATATTACTGTCAGAATGAGCCAAATTCAAAGGTCTCCTCTTCATGTTCTATTTTCTTCTGCAGCACAGATTTCGTTTTTTCAAAGAATATCTAGACTGTGAACTACTATCTTCATCTAGAAGAATATTTCAAAATTAAAACACAGAAGAATTAATTTTATTCAATAATACTGGCTTTCTGAAAAATGAGCTTAAGATGATGGATTTCTACCTTATCCCCCTTACCGAGCCCTGTTTACAGTGCATCTTCTGGCACCCCATGGAGTCATTTGAATTTTTGTCATTTGGGGTGAAGACTAAATTACAGGTTAATTTCAAAACTGCAAGTAGATGTTGCAGGCTAGATTACTGTCATAAAAGCGAAATACTATGGTAGTTACCATAGACAGATATAAAGCTTTAGATAATCAGTATTTTTCTCCTGCTTTAGATGCAAGTTTAGTTAATACCTTAAAAAACAGTTTTACAGAAAACTACTCAATTTCTAAGAAGACACAACAACATTTATACACTCAAATTAAAGTTTTCAATGATAAATTTAGCTTTTCAGATTGATGCTCAAACTGCCATAGTATTGTCTCGGCTGTATTCCTAAAGGATTAAAGTGACTGTTTTTAGGTCAAAGCTATCAATAAATGAATGAGTAATTGGAATGTCAATCAAGCAGCAACATTAAGAGTTTTCTAGACTTTAAATGTATACTTCTGAAGGCATTAATACTGTATGTACAGGGAAAAAAAACAAATCAGGAAAGGACTGATGTAACAAAAAATGGAAATAGTGTTCTTATTACTGGCACCTACTGCTCAAAGGTTCACAAATAAGTACACATTTAAGAAGGTCAATATATTACGCACTGGTCTACTAGACTTCCTTGAATCTATATAAGTCTGATACATTTGTTCGGCTGTATTCAGACAACTAAACATCCTCCAACAGTTCAGAGAACAGCATTTATAAAACAGATAGATTATAAAATAGGCAATAAACCGATAGAGTGTAAAAGTTCAGTCTTTAACATGAAATTGTGTTTACTATTATTAAAAGGAAAAATAGCTTGAGTAAATCACATCAAGTATAAGCTGCAGTATTAGCTGTCACAAACTGCATTTAATTCCAAAAGCATATGAGCATGTTACCAACAACTACTTTTGTAAGAAGTTTTTACAATCCTGTTAGAAAAGTGCAGTAATAATAATGAATTACTGTGGGCTTCAAATTTCAAGTATAGATAAAATTTCAATACATTTCATGTTATTAGTCTTGAACTTAAAGAAGTGCACAGAAAAGAATTTCCAAAGTTTGAAAAAATGATATTGATAAATGAAAATTTTAAGCTAATAAGTTAAACATGTCAAAACTTTCAGCGATGTTTTGTCAAGATGCTCTTTTTCCTCCCAAAAGTATAACTAACTAGATTAAATGCCTGATCTAGAGTTACTGTTTGATTAACATGGATCAAGTCACAAAAGAAAAAAGCCCTAATATACTTAGAGCCACGTTGGAAAATCTGGCTTCCAACGGCAGTCTGCACGAAATGGTATTTAAAATATGAAGACATAAGAGTCACGCTACACTTGGAGTGGTCTAGATACTACTAGAGTTTTCTTTACATCACTCACAATTATAACCTGTTCAGGATTAGCACCTGTCACACTTAAATGTTACACATATTTTTAGATGAACACATTTCAATAAGGGGGAGGGGGGAAAAAAAGATACACTATTATTTTCTAATGACAAGAGGAGCTTCAGTCATCACCTTATTATGTTTGACCCATACCTAGAGCAGGAAAGAGTCCTTATTTGGCTTAATTTCCCAACTAAATTTGCATTCTGGTGAAGATGACAAGAGTTTTCAGATGCGCTTTCTGTTTGGGACACCTGTGAAGCCCTAGACACTATGGGCACCACAGTGCACAGTATTTGCATGGGCAGTTTTACTCCCAGGCAGTAGAGCTACCTGCACTGACAAAGCCACGGAGCTGCCTGGGTGTTTGCGGAACGCGCCCAACAGCGAGCCTGGATTTAACATCCATGGATGCAACATCGCCCGCCGGCTTCCACAAGCCCCTCCCCTCCTGCTTCAAGAATGTAGCACTAAGTCTAACCCTTTTAATAGTAATAAACAACTTTTCCAACCAGAGAGTCGGCCTGATAAAAATAAGACTCCAAATATTGATTTTAATTGGAATGAAGTGCTGCAACATTATGCATAAAGCTTTAGTGAAGTGGCAATTTACCTAAGGGGTTTACTGATTGAAAAGCTCTCAAACCTGAAATCGCTAGAGAGGTGGAAAAAAAAGGGACTCTCTGGGGTGGGGGTGGTGGGTAGCCTGGTACAACAAATCCCTCTCTGCAAATCTGAAGCAGATGTTAGCGTGGAGGGAAATCAATTCAGCAAGGTACAATCAGCTTTACAAAAATTATTCTGCTAAAAGAGAACGGGCTCTTGAAAGAGCTAAATGTTTTTCTGTTCATTTGCTATACTAAGGAATCTTCAAGGAGACTGGTGTTGCAATTACAACTAATCCTCCCCAAAAAATTAACTGTGTTGAAGGCTTTGTAATTTCCCTAGGTACAATTTAGCTGTCACTTACTTTAAAATTTACTCAAACATGCGTTCCGAACAGCACTAACTTCACATGTCAAGTGCTTTCCAGCCAATTGAGTCTAAACTGGAAGTCGGTGTTAAACAACTGAATGATTAGACAAGATAGCTCATTTCCCTGCTCTTTTGTTCAGAATAAAATGCCACATTTACATTATCAGACTCAACAGGATTTTCTGACAGAGGGAGAAAAAACCCTAGTGAACACTGTCCGTACTAAGCACATGAAGCCTGTCATTTACCAATCATCCTTCAAAAAGCAATAGCCATGAATGTAACTTAATTACGACCCAATGATCCTTGACGAAAAATCATCTTATCACTGTCCTGTCCCCATAGGGCAAATGAGACACTTTTGTCCTTTGGCACTGATGATGCTAAATTCCTAATTGCAATAATGGAGTAAGAGAACCAAACATCCTTAATTTCACTGCAGCATTTAAAGAGTTTTATAGCAAATATTTGAAAGAAAACTGCTGAAAGTTAGAAAAAACTGTCCCTGCTACAGCCTTGGTTTTCCCAAAAAAGTCACCTGATTTTAAGAGCGGAACATTTTTAAGAGCAAATTTAAAAATCAATCAACTTTTACATGCTACAGAATCATTTCAAACAAAAACACATATAACTAACTCTGTGAAACCAAGACAAGAGAAACTGTCAAGACACTATATCTGCACGTTGGGAGTACATGAGAAACTTAATAAAATATGGGTTTACATAAGATTAATCACAAATCAGCACACAGTGTTTTAAGGTACAACACAGTATTAAAATGCATGGATCATTTTAAAATAAATACAATCCAGTCTTATCCTATAGACCTTTTAAAATATTAACTAGTATTTACTGACTTGAGCTACAGAGTATTTTATTCCCACAATCTGCATTGTTTTCATAATTAGTTTTCAGGCAAGTTTCCTTCTCTCTGCTAAGAGCACTTCTGATACAGAGGGTGTGTGAATTGCAAACGCGAAGCTGTTGCTGTCTTTAACCACAGAGATTATATTATACAGGGGTAGAAGAAACAAGCTTATGTCAATAAAAAGATAGGAATCAGATCAAGTTTTTAAAATGTGCTTTCAGGTTTGTGTTTCTTCAGGTTGGTCTATCTGCCTGTATTTGAATGGGTTTCTCCTAGGACTTGAAACAGAAGAGAAAACCCACCACCCTTAAAACCAAGAGTATTCATCTGGCAGAGATAACAGAGCTTGTCCCTATCAGCATTTGGAAGAATCAGTTAAAAGGCAAGACAATGTGCAAGTTCTTCATATTCTTGTTGATTTTTTAAAAGCTTACTCCAAGTTAAGTCTCCTTAATGAAGATTTTTGTCACACTATCCAGGGGCAGGTCTATTATCCAAAAGGATAAACCAAGATTTCACACAGGCACCACTTCTTCATCAGTTTCTGCAATTTCACCATTTCTTGAAAAATTGGTTCAGACTCATGAATAAAAGATCATACAATTGAGGGCAGTTGATTTTTTTTTCAAGTAAATTTAAGGAAACAAATCATCAAGAGTCATTTCTTTCTCTAGTTATTTAAGTTAAATACTTCTCAAAATGTCAAAAGCAAAGTATCCATTCTAGTAAAATACTAGACTTCATAATCTTTTGTCAACTGATTTTTTTTGTGTTTTATTGCAAACTGTTACATGCACTAGAATTTCTAACTCTTCCTGAGTAGAGACAACAGGGGTACTCATAAGCATTTTAGACCTATGTCTGTAGAAGCATTCAAAAAGCAGTCAGAGAATTCTTTACAAGCAATTTAAAAGTTAAAATTGAAATAAATTAAGAAAACAAAGTACTTAGCATAACTGTTTCTGTGGAACATGAAAAAAAAATCCTCAAGCTAATTTCAGAGGCAAGCTGAAGACCTGCAGCTAAATAACAACATTTTCACATGATTCTTGAGCTGTAGGATGGCAAATAGGACTGCTGCTCCTGGAAGAAAAGGCTAACACTTATTTCAGTCAGTCAACTTTCCAAAACTTATGTTCTGTGACAGAAGGAAAAAAAAAAAAAAAAAACACCACTCAGTGAAATTCAGTTATTTCTCCCTAGGAATGTGCGTAAAAAAAAGCTTTTCCCTTCTGTTCTGCCCAATGCTAGACAGAAAGCATCTTTCTACCCAAAGAAGGGGGAAAAAACACATGAAATGGAATTACTTCGTATTGCATCCATCATATGTACGAGTACAAAGAATTATAAGGCGAGTTTCAACAACCTATAGCCAAACAGTTGCAAAGCATAGAATTAATTCCTCTAAAAAGTCTCAAGTGTTTTTTTTCCTTCTCCTCAAGTTTTAGCAAATTTTAAAAGACTAATATAATGTGGAATCACCACTTACTGTTTGCCTTTGCATCCACAATGACCGTATTTTCATTTACATCATCATATACCACTTCTCAAGCGAGATAAATCCAGCAGTACCATGTACAACTCTGCATGTCAATGTGCATAAACCAATTACAGAAAACGCAACTGCTTTTACTACATGTTACAAAGCATAATATCAGAATTTTTTCTGGCACATTGGTTACATATGACTGCATTTAAATTACTTCCATAAACATCTGTCTCATCTTGTGATCTACCCAACACAGTGCTGCTGACTGAGGTGCACGCTACACATCTATAACCATGAACCAATTCATTAAAAGACTACTTTTAAAAAGGAATTTACAGGCAGCTTACGGGAGCTTATGACACTGTGACAAACCGTCTGAAAACAAAAAATTAAGACCTTGCATGCACAGAACATTGAGAAGAATTAAAAATCTAGATCTTCATGTGTTGCTAATAGAGAAACATTAGCATACATCTTTGAGGCCAACTTAGAAATATGATACTACGAAAAGTTCACTAATTCCATAGGTATTGTATTTAAAATTAAGCCAAGGAACCACATTTGAAATACATGAAGCAGCCTGGAAAAGACTGATCATTCACACAAGCTTTAAGAGATTAAAATCCAACAGCTACAGAAATGACAACCTAAGAAAGAACAAAAAAGATTGTGCATTTGGTGGAGAAAATGAAAAGGGTTTCTTGCCTTGGTTGCAACAAAAAGCATTACGGAGATCACACATTCTTTAACTCAAGTATCCTACACCTCAGTCACAAAGGAACATGCCACACGGAATTACGGACACCCCTTGCCGGGATGAGCATATGGACTCCCTTCCTAGGTACCAAAGGTATGAACGGACAAGAACTAAACCAGACAGGAATTGCTTCAAACTTCAAATTCAACAATGTATAGAGTCTTCCAGTATAAACACCAGATTATCTGAACATGACTTAAGAATACGTTAGTGCCCAAGGCCTGCCCTTCGGCTCACCTATGTTCTACTGTACTGTACAGCACAATAATGCTGTTTTCACTGGAAATACTCTTCTTGACCACAGGAGCTGAGCCTCAACTACTGTACTCTGAATAGCTATCTTGTCAAACAGACTTAACAAGTTCAGCTTTCAAAACAACTGATTTCTAAGCATATTTTACTATATAGCCATATGCTCTCTGCCACACCCATGGAGCACAGCTATGGTTCCCATACAGCTACCATGAGGTATACGACTGCTGAAAAGCCCATTTACCTGACCGTGCCTCCTCCAGCCCAGCACTCCTAGCTCGTTTGAGTTCACACGCGTGTGCATGCACGTGCTGACGTGCACGAGCTCTGTACCTGAACGTGCAGCTGCCCAACCCCTGCACAGGTCATGTCATGTAAACTAATATCATAACACAACTCGTTCCACGGCGAGCCCAAGCCCAGCTTACTTTTCAAGGTGGACTGTAATCAGTGGAGAATAGAGGACAGCAGTTTCTGCCAAGCCGAGGCTCACAATGGTGTCGTGTAACCGATTCACCGTTTCGACTTCACCTCGCATGGCTGCAGCATTAAGAACGCGGAAAAAAGATGGAACTCTTCTATCCGTGATAGGAACATCCTTCTCTTTCATCTCCTTTAGAACATTAATAGCATCTACAGTGAAACAACACAAAAGACCCTTAGGTAATTTCATGTAGGGACAACAAACTGCTATTAAAACAGCAAAAAGCAGGAATGTAAATTCTGGCGTATAATGCCGATTTCAAGTTAATTACTACTTGCATTTCTAAACGAGACTACAATTATAAATCCACAATAGCACGGCTTTATCATTTTGCTGCAACTTTGACTACAAATTACAGATAGGAACCGTGTGCCCACTTTGCACCACGTAACCCTGCATAGTGTGCCCTATAGCTGCAAGACTCTGCTAAATGGATGCTTTTATCGTTCGATGCTAACATCTGCTAAATCACTCCATTGTTTCTTCAGCAGATGGCTTGTCACGAGGCCAGATAATAAAGATATGTTTACACTGTATATACAGCCAGACTAATGGTCTGATACCGATAGGGCCTGTTTGCTGTGTCGATACTAATTAGCCAAGGAGAGCCAATGAAAGCTTTCTAACAGACTGAATGTTAAAACATTAGGTTCATTAAGCTTCATTAGGAAGGCAGAAACAAACATTTTGGTATACAGAATAAGTGCATTTTTATAATGTTCTTAATTATTGCATAGGAGGAATGTTTTGACCACTTTACATTTGGCTACATTTATGAATTGTTTTATTTCCGGAGGGGCATTTGTGCTCCTAAAAGCAAGCTAATCTTTTCCAACTGCTTAAATGCAAAGGTGGTCATGATCTGATTTGTTATGATTTGGAAAAGGTCAGCTTTGTTGATTACTTTTCTAGCAATAACCGCAATAAGTGGCCCCAGATAAATTTCAAAAAAGCTGGCAAAAAAAATGCTAAACATCAACTTTTTATTTTACAGTGTTTTACATAAAATTATTACTTTTTTGTATCTAGTTTTGGTCAGTGTTCTTACTTTGTTAATTCTTGTACAAAACACAGAACTCGATATTTAGAATTATCTTTTAAAGTTGATTACAACCTCGAGTTTTAAAGATCAACAAAATAATGAAAATTATAGAAGTTACCTTATAGTAAATTACAAAAATTGTAGAACAGCTTAATGCAAAGATGCAGAATTCCAGAAACAGACAAGTTGCAAGACAAGCATTTACCAAAATTTAAAGACAGTTTGGCTTTAAAACTCATTTTTTTTAAAAAAAAAGCATTAAAAACATTAAAATATATACTTTTTATAAAGTTAAATGATGTTTTGCAGTACTTGGCTCTTACGGGAAGGTTATGTTTATAGGTTTTATGCTCAGCCTTCAGACCTTCTTAAGCAAAAACAAAGCCATTAGTCTAGGCACATACGCAATTTGTGCCATAAGTCATGATCTTCAAACTCAATCCAAACAGCAATGCTAATAAAAACTAGCTGCAGAAATGCAAAAAGCACTGAGCTGTGCAAATGTAAATGACAAGCTTGCCAATCCATTAAAACTAATGGCCTGCACTGTCCAAGCATCTCTGGTTGAATTCACATGCAAATTTGTATGCAAAATGTTCAAGCACTTTGCAGGACATGATATACCATTAGTATCAACTCGCATTTTTATTCTTGAGGCAAGATACCTTTATTACATAGCACAAACATACAATGAAAGCAAATGGATTACCTTCTACTCTGCCATGCTTTGCTAAGACCTCTACCAGCGCTATGTACTTTCCCACGTCAAGAGCAACAGATGAATTCTTAGGGAAGCTAGAAATTAAATATTAAGAAGTGTTATCAACAGAAGTTTATATTTTCTAGATTCAACTTAGATCTTTATTTTAAAAGCTACGTAACAAAAGAACAGCATTAAGAGTCAAAAGGAAAATCTGATATGCTTTAAGAGATGCATCATTAAACTGCAGTTAGAAAAGATATTCTATACACACTTATTCCTAAAAATCCCAAAGCTAAGACATCTTTTGAAGGCACAAATGGCATTATTACTTTTTTGCCACTTACTGCACAGGAAGTCGGAACAGGCTGAGAAGAAAAATTTAGTCCACCTGGTTGGTGCAGGGCATTACTCTTTACTGAAGTGGAAAGCGTAGGAAACTATTCATCTACGCTAACACATTAACGGTAACTATCTGCATGGTGCTGCTATATATATGTTTTCTTTTTCCTGCAAGTTTTAAGGTTATTTCTTCTGTTGTTTTTCTCCGTAACATTTCAAAAAGTCACTTCTTAGTCACAAGCTAAGCTCAAGGCAGACCTGTGTGAAGACATGCAACTGAGATGAAGCTCCACTATACGGCTCATTTTTACTGCATAAAAGCTCACTGTGGGGATCGTGCAAGAGCAGTACTACAGCTAAAACCAATATAAATTACTGTGTATGCAGAGTGAGAAATTTCTTCATATCCAAAGGTCAATCATTTTATATGATTCAAAAGACTAGCAAGAATCTTCTTATGTAACAAGCCTATACCCTACCCTATTACAGAACCAGAGCAAATACTTTGTGTATGTACACAGGAGAGAGAAAACCTGCAAGTAACACATAACTTTTATTCACTGTAGCATAAGACCAAATGGGAGCTTTGAAGGAGAAGGGGCAAATGGATGGTTGATATATAAGAACTTACACCACAATAAATCATGCATAGCATGTTTTACCTGGGAGCTAATTTTCACTGCAAAAACATAAAGCTCTGAAATAAAAAAAATTAAAATGGAATGCTTGCTGACAGTCTGAAAATATAACATCACTTAAAAACACTGCCATTCTAAACACAATAGATATGCAGTATATTCTGAGGACATTTTAGGTGCTATTCTAAAGCACAATCCAGGTGCAGATTTTAGAAAAGTTGGAACTTCAATTTAGAAGCTACATATGTTTAAAAGAAAAACACAAATAAAATATACATAGCAGTTTGTCCCTTCTCTCCCCCTCCCCCCCTTTTTTAAAGGCAATTAATGACCACACAAAATAGCTGTTTCTGATGTTCAATTATACTAAGCAAATTTTCTTTCAACAAAAAATCTTGACTGTTTTAAATGCACATACATTGGTGGGGAAAACTAATTAAAAATGGATGAGGGGGTTAATACTCAACCTACTTAATTCAACAAGGTCTGTGTATCAGCATAAGTCTCTGTGACATGTTTCAGTGCCGGTGTACTTACACTTTTTCTTTCAGGTTCATTGCTTCTTCTACATTATCATGTCGACAGCACAAATTTATTAAGGCTGCATAGCCACCGACAACCATGTCCGGTTCATATTTGGCTTTCACTTCAAGGGCTTTTTGCATATTCTAAAAAAAGGAACAAAGCAAAGATATGAACTGGAGGAAAAGTCAAGATGACATTATGAATCTTAGATATTCAGCTTGCAGTTACGTGATCACTCTTGTGTATTTAATAGCAGATGATCACATTTGAAAACACAAAGCTATGGTGCTCTAGCAAATTTTCAGAGTGAGTTATTTTACAGAAACTTAGCTCCGCATTTCTGAAACACCCTTTCAGTTATCTGAGAGTAGATTTCAAAGTAAATTTTCTTGCTTTAATTAACATTTCTAGCATGCTTTGAAGTAATATATTTTTGTTCACTCACACATTAGCACCTTAAAGGTGACTAATCCAAACTCTGAAATAGATCTATATAGAATTCACAGCAATGATTTTCATCTGGTGCACAGCCAAACATAAGACAAACCTACTTTTTAAAGAACAATAAACTAGCTAATGATGCCACGGATATTTTTATTCCCTGACACCCCCCCTCCACCCATGTTCTATTTGTACATTTGACCACTTTGAACTTATAATGGCATTTGCTTCTAGCCTCATTTCATATGCAAAATGATACAGGCAGCTGAAAAACGCTGTTTATAAACTGTATTTTTAGCAACAGAATATAGAGCTATCGTGTTCATGACCGTTACGGTTCCTACATATCCAGCTTTACAAGCAGGCTCATACTGAACAAGGAACTGAACAAAAGTGTGGTGATACCCCACAAATTACAGACACGCACTAAATGAATGTAAACTACAGCTGGACGCCTGCCGAATGAAGGCAAGAGACCCTTTATCTCAGAAGAGCTTTCCTCCTGCAGGAAAATGGAATTTCAATCCCTGCATTAACAACCTAGTAATATTTGAATTGCAAATGACTAGTGCATGTATCAGTTGCTTGACAATCTAGATATAAGAGACCGGAGCCATGGCTTGAAAGGACATTTGGCATGTATGATAAACCTATCACAGCTGTTACTATCATTCACTTTGCAGATTATTGTAAACAAACTTCAGCAACCCCAAAACATGCCATTCAAGGTGTTGCTGAAATTAGTTAACCTTTTGATTTAATTGCTTTTTGCACTTATGTTTGATTTATAAGCATCAAATCATGAAACCTCAAGCACTGCACTTGTCTTTGCTTAACTGTGTCTATCCATAATACAGTCATTTACGTCCCTTTAAAAATATAGCTGTGTGTTTCCAATTATCGCTGCATTGCTTAAGATACCTCTTCTTCACAAAGAGCATGTATGAGTTGTTTCAAGACATCTGTAATGGGCTGGTTTTCAGCTTTTCGCTTTTCTAGTTTCATCTCCAAAGCAGACACGTCAGATTTAGCACTCTAAATGGAGGTAACAGAAAGAACGTCAATTACAAAACACCCTTCCCCCGAACAACTTGGCGGATCACTTTAATAAGACACAGACAAAATAATCCTCTCTCACGGTATAAGAAAATTTTAATCATTTATGATGCTTTTATCTGTTTAAGCAGTACATACTAATTGAAGATTTGGGTCAGAATATAGTTTTTTTTTAAAAAAAAAAGCAAAAACTAACATATCTTCAAAGGTTCAATATTATTATTTCTCTCATATTAAGCTCTTTGTGCTCAGGGAAGTAGGGTATAGAAGCCTGGTTCCTTTGCCACCTCTACTCTGTTCAGATCAGAGACCTGACACCACGTCATTAGAATCAGTACTGATTTCTACAGCTCCTGCCACTTGGGTGGATCAGTGTAATTTACAAGTATTAATTAAGCCTCATGCCACCACCATTAATTATATATTTACCAAAAGGGTAAACCGAGGCATGAAACTTCAGTCAACTCCAAGCTCAAGCACCAGCTCTACATGAAAGTCTGGATAGTTTTTACTCCTACTCTAGAAAGTAACTGCTGACTTCTAAGTGGCAGATTTAAATAATGTTAATATGCTACCCTGATCTGAAAGCTATTGATTACACTTGATATAAAACTCAGACATTATTACTATGATAGAAAGAAGTGCAGTTATTGGTGAATTTACTTACTTCTGGAATGTTATCAGCAGTTTTTCTATGAGGAAGTAGTAACCTTAGATCCTAAAATGTATTAAGACAGAAGATATCACTAAACGAATAAAAATGTTCAATTTATTCATAAGTATATTGTACCAAAAATGTTGTAAAGTTAACTCTATAATTATTATGTTTTTTTTTTTAAACTCTATTTTGCAATGTTACTAGATGATTTGAAACAGTACCTTTAAATCCATCTCAAACTTTCCCATGTGAGAATAAAAACACTTTAACAGTTAGTGAAGAATTACAGAAAGGTTAAAATGCTTACATAGAATCAACCCAAAGTTACTTATTTTACAAAGGAAAATATATTCAGAGCACACATACTCCAATCTTTAGCTGCAAAGTAATTGCCATAGAAGCACAGACCTTAATTAAATCAGGAACTTGAGAGGAGTCCAGCAGTCTGCAAATGCCGCTGTAGTAGGTTGTAGGGATAACTACATTCTGCACCAAGAGGTGGGGAAAAAAAATTATATGAGTTTTGAAACACAACCAAACTGAAATTTGTCTAACAGAAATTATCTCAGACGTAATTCAAGTCTCCAGCTCTTGCATGTCATTGAGAAGTGGTCTGGTTGTACTTAAAAGCAGCAATTTCAAATCTAATAGATACATGTCAAGCAGGACAGGCATTATGTAGCAAAAAATGAAATGGTACCATCTTCTTCAGCTGATGGAAGTATTGTCTCAAACGCTCCTCCTTGGCCTGTACCTCTGAGTCACTCATGCTGTCAATCAAGTGATAAAGAAAATAGCCAACAGCTTCTGTGGAAAAAAACAAGAGAAAGCATTCCACTAAAATTACTGAGACTGTCATGTTATCAAGATTAATTTATAAGAAATCATTTTGGTGTGAGATGTCACCCTGATGAGAGGCTCTGAAATGGCAACAATGATCACTGAGGCATAGAGATTATGTGGTTTGGGAGCACATATCTAACTGGTGAGTGAAAGGAATATTAATTATTTTCAGACCCAGTGACAGCTTTTCAGAACAGAATCTTACTTCAATCTATTTTTTCCACTACTGTGTGACAGAAGTGGTGCTGCCCAAGGCCTTCCCCCCCTTTCCTGCCCGCTACCCCAAATAGTTGCCACAAATATTTTGTCATTGCTCAAAAGAAAAAAGCAGAATTGTAACACTTTGCATATTTATTCCGTATATTTTACCCATTATATTCCATTACCAAGCTACATTACATATTTTAATGTAAATATAAAACAAAAATATTATTTTAACCATACAGTCAAGTAATGCTGAAGGACTTAGCTATTGGCTAATGAAAATCAACATGAACAATTTTTAGCACACAGTACCACAGTTCTTATTGATTCAGGCATAAAATACATATCAGGTCTTACTATTCAAGAACAGTAAGAGCACCAATTACTTGTTTTCTCAAAAGGTAAGCTTCTCCATAAAAAACATTCTGGCAGAAGGGAAAAACTCTTTTTTTGTTGTTTGTTTGTTTTTTTCTCCTAAATCCAGCTCATATCAAAAAGCATTCTTGTTACAAAATAGTATATTTGGGATGTTAAGTACCATTTTTCTTCACAAAAAAAATCACACAAAATCAAAGGAACTACTGAAGGTAAAACTAAATGGGAAGTCTGCATTTATTTTTAGTATTTATACACTGATACTCTGTTCATTCTAAATCTTTCTTTTAGTTAATATATTTAGAAAAAATAGTCATCAGCGAGATTTTCTTATAATTCCAAAAAAGAAAGGATCTCATGGATCTCACAAAATATGCTCTGATTATTAGGATAAGGATTTTACCCAACATGTTTTCAAATTTCACTTTCAAAAAGAAGCAATCAGTGTTTACTGCTGTAATCTCTCAAACCCATCATTACACAGAAGAACGGATTTGTGGATAAGTTACAATCATAGAAATTGAAACTCTACCAGTTGGTCCTGGAGGCGTCAGGCAATAACGTTCATCCTTGTACAACAGTTCTGTTATCTGGTAAGACAGAATAATCGTACATTGCAGCCAAAAGCAGCAAGCAAGGACAAATAGTATCTGAAATTGAATTCTCAAAATAATAAAGCATCTCTCTGCTACGGTATTATTCTTTACCACATCACAGTAATTCACTAAAAAATACAAGGAAGTCCTTTTTTTTTTTTTGTAAATAATAGGTTTTTCTTAAAAATATATTGCAACTGAAATGCTTTCTGAGGTATGGCAATAAGACAGACATTCTACTATTCTGTTTATGTATCTTCCTACAGCAAGTCAGCCATCGTAAAACGTTACTTATAGTAAATATTAACCAGTGTCACTGCTGGAGAAGCTAAAGTTATGTTCCAATTTACCAGAAGGCTGAAATAGCCCATAAATCTTTTCTTTTTATATTTTTAAAGAGGCAAATTCAAAAGAACATGATTTATTGTGCTCTACTAAATATAACTAGTATAGTTGTTTTAAATAAGTGTAATTTTGAATGACAAAATATGTCCCCATAAACTTAATTGCATTCATTATACTTAAACTAAATTTAGCATCTGTTCCATCAGCCTTATATAGGCTGAAGGAATAGGTAGATTTGGCTTCATCTGAAAAAAATGCTTTACACGAGAGCCCCCATTTTCTATCTTCAAGTACTTATGTTAAATCATATCATATTCTAAAAATCCATTTGGCTGTTAAGGAAATTATCTTTACACAAAATGCCCAGTTTTTAACTACTTCAGGAATTTTGCTTTTATCTGCTATGATTCTAGGATGCAACCTGGAATAGGCAGGAGGCAGATGCAGGAGCTGTGTTTTAAGTAAAGGCAGAAAGAAAGGAACCCTCACCTTCATTTCTTTATGGAAATGAATATGCAACGCCAGAAAATACCAGACATGCAAAGAAATAGCTTATCTATCACTTCTCATTCTACCAACAGCTTGGACGCTGTGGACAGTAAAACTACTGCTTTCTTCTGCTTCTCTGCCCTTGCCCTTGGAGGACAAATCAACATACAGAAGAACCTAGTACTATAATAAAAATCAATAAGTCATGACAACATAGTTCTCCTGCTGCACCAAATGTTAGAGCATACAAAAAGAAAATGGAAAAAAAAAAAAAAGCATTATTAATGCTAAGCAAATTTTGATTTCCTAAGTTAGTAATTCTTGTTTTATTAAATAGATGTCCTTACAACTATCACAGATGACAAAATGCACCCTTCCTTCACTCCATTAACAAAAGTAACTCTAAATACTGCTTTATGTGTATTTTACTTCTCCAACTATCCTTCAAGATTTTTTCTACAGTGACAGCATAGTATAAGACTTTCGCTTTTTTTCTTAAAATATAGAAAAGGAAGGATAGATCCAGAAGATGAAAGCATCCTCTAACCATAATTTACACACGCACACACACACACACAAAAAAGGGAAAAGAAAAAAATCTTTTGCTTCAGTTACATTTGTCTAATAAATCCACATTAAACAGTGTTGTTCCTAATTGCAATTCCTATTTCATCCCAAGACTTCCATTCAAAACTTGAAATACAATAGAAATTGTTGCAGTTGAGTATTCAACAGGCAAAATATCTAGGAAAAATACAGAAAGCAAAGTGTTTCCCTTCCAAAAATTTTTAACCCCATCTCATCTGCCAGCATCTCTTTAATTTAGCACTCTTGAAGAAGAAAAAAAAAAAAAGCCACCACCCACACTATGGAAGGTTGTTTCAAAGTAGTCCACACCAAGAAGGGCAATATGAGCAATCTCCATTTGTAACTTAAGTCAAAAGACTTCCTTCATCTGCCTTTGCCTTCAGTTTAAGCTAAACAATATAAACATGAAAATTCTAATTGTGCCTTCTTGTTAGTTTAGTACCAGTGAGGGGACAGAAAGAAGCTTTTCAGAATGGCAGAAAAGGGAAATTAAAAGAATTTGGATGGGAAAACCATGGTAAACTTTGCTCCTGAAGCTACAGGTGGACAGCAGTAGAACACGGATCTAGAGAGAAATCTAAGCAACACAGGCCACACCAAGTGGCCACATTTCTTCCACAAGCACACTTACATTTCTGACTTGAAAACACAGTTTCATACAGTTGTATAATCTGTCATTGACAAATGCCTTGCTCAAATTACTGAAGCCTACAATTATGAGGTTCAGAACTCAGATTTACACTAATGCATTAAAAAAAAAAATGCAGCGCTTAAAGAACTTGATTAGAATCCATTTAGAAAAAGCTTTTATTTGCAGCATTACTGTCATCACTTACCTTGCTCCAAAGATATACATCAGCTGAGCTGAAGAGGGCAGCAGAGGACAAGAAATGAAAAAGCAAAAAAATGATTTTTTTTTTTTAAACACTTGCATTTTAAGATAAACGATATTAATGCTGACCTTATTAAAGCATTTATAGGAAATTAAGATAAAATATTTAGCATATTGTTTAAAACTGACACTATTTTTGTACAGAGTAAGTGCTGTACATTTTACTCCATTATAATGTTGTTTTTGACTAAGTAACTTTCCAAATAACACAATAATACAAGCAGATTAAAGACTAGGAAGGATATTTTTAGTTTAATCTTTTATCACGTGCTAGTTTTGTTTTGTTTGATTTAGAATTTTTATATTCTATTTAGTATTTCAAAAAAGTGAGTTTAAGGCAAACAAGTCACACTACATAGCAAACAGTCAAAAAAAACTAGGCTTCTGTACATTAAATCTAGATATTCAACATGGGTGGATAACTATGGACACCTAAAAATGCTTTTATATGATAAAGAAGTCATCTCAAGGTATAATGTTAATTATAGAAAATAATTAGAAAACAAACATAAAATTCTCTTTTATTCAGAGTAATGCAGAACTAGATGGAAAGCATTCCTCTGCACAGCACCAAGCTACAACCACAGCCAGAATGCTAACCAGGTCAAAAAAGTACAAAAACTTATGCCAAATCTGCAATTTGCAAGATACCAGCAGTCTATCTAGAAGCTCTAGCTTTTGCACAACTGTACGAGTTTAGGGCTTTCTTTTTTTTATTTAGGAGGCTCAAGCCTAAAAGTCATTTATTCTTTTTGTATTGCTACCATTTACATTTGAAAATGAGTCTAACACAGATGCACGGAGAGAACAAAACGCTGCCTGTGAGGTTAGTTAAGCTTTCTGGGGTGAACTCGCTCCACCACTGACAGCATGACAATGAATTGCTGATATCAAATGCATCAATTTCCCCAAGTACTTGACTTCGAAATAGCAATGGTACATCAGGTAGATAGAACGGAAATTCTCTGAAGCAGTAACTAGAAAACAGGAGCTTCAATAGAAATCCCTAAGATAGTTTACTATAGATCTTGCTCATGTAACCCTTGGGTCCATGCCCTAGGCTTCTGCATGTGAATCAAACTCTGCTCACTTGAACATTCAAGACCAGTATGTAGGTACAAAATTTTACTGAGCTAAGGTCTTGAAAAAGGTATGCTGATAAACAATATATTTTTCCTTCTGCCCTATCATGAGTTCAACCTTCACTTCTTAGACTGTTCTAGCTGCTCAGCTTTTAAAGGAAAAGGAAATGAGAACGGGCTTTCTGGAACCACACATAGGCCAAGATCAGGCCCAGCCAAGACTATCGTTGTCTGGCTTCAAGAGCTACATTCTAAAGGCAGGAAAGAAGAACAAAGCCCAAAACTGGTTTGCCACATTTGCAAGTGGCAAGGAGAAGGGGCAACAATACACCCACAGATGTCAAGTAAAATATTTATTCTCCCTCAGAATCCTCAGTTTTTAGCTCAAGTGACCAATAACCATATAAATCGTAACAGTGCTAACTTTCTCCACTGAGTTTCACTGCTGAGGACAGGAGCTGTTCCACTTAAGGACAATATGATTCTTCAGCAGCTAATTTTCACCATTCAAGTTGATAACGCTTTAGAAGTTATTTTAATCACGTTCTGAACATCTGCACACCTCGTTGGTAGTAGGGGTATTTCAAGCTAGTGTGGGTAGGAAGCGTGGCAAACATTTCCTTTCTAGTGTGAGTCAAATATGTTAATGGAATGTTTATCTGTACCTGCAGGTAGCAAATCTATTTTAAGAAGCCATTATTTTAATTAATGCATTTGAAATCAATGATTCTGGGTTGACTAATACAGGGAACAGTAAAACATCCTTGTTTGATCCAAGCATTATTGTAGTTATGCTTAGGAAGTCAAGGTCAGCTCGGGTCTAGTTTACATGCCCAGTCTGTACACTGGCTTGCGCTTTCTCCTCTTCTTCCCTTAGTAGGGCATGATCAGCTAGGCAGAACTTGCATTTTTACTAGGAAATTATTTTTGCTGTATTTTGTCTCTAACATATTACCATAACAAACCTAAATACAGCTGCATTTCATACTCATTACAGAATTTTAGAAAATAGCTGCTGGGGCAGTTAAAGAAAACAGCCTTTAAACTCTGGTCCTGAGTAATATTTAGGTGATTTCTGTCATTCTCAGCGGTGAGATGCACTGCAGAACTATTCACAGTGCCATACACCTGACTGGGTTAAACAGAAATGCTTGCAATTTACACGGTTAGGCACAAGCCTAAGACAATCTTGGGACCAGGTAGCTATAAGTAAAAAGTCACCACAATGCCATCCAATACTAGGTACTAAGGTAAGTAGAGTATTCAGGAGTCCTGTGAGCCTGGAGGGCACAGGAAGGCACCAGATGGGGAGAATGTAGCAAAATATGCCTGGTTTACTTTAATACCTAATGGTGATAATCATTAGTGGAATCAGATTTATGTGGCATTTATAAACAAAAATGTTAACAATGACAAAAAATGTTTTCTACTCTGAGAAATTTATGCAGTTAAATACCAGAAAATAAACAAGATTTGTATTAATATCAGAACAGTGAAGTTACTTTCACCCCAATAGAGCTAATACTCTAAAAGGAGCCCTCAGATACACCAGGGGTAAGGAAACCTGGGAGAGCAGAGAGGAACAAAGGTCATCTCCTCTGTAAGGTCGCTTGCAGAGGGAACTCTGCTTTGAAGTTCCCCAACATAGAGAGGGGAAAAAAAAAACCCACAAAAAAACACTTAGGATTAAGGATGGAAAACTAGAAAAAAAAACTTGGCTACAGAGGAAAAAAAGCCATTCACAGAGCAAACTTACTTTTTAAATGCCAAAATGAGGCTGCTCCTTAAATGACGCATGTCAATAGAGGGTGTGCTTGATGAAGACACTGTAAATGACACAAATATTTCTAAATAGTCATTCCAACAAATAAAAAGTCATGTAAATCAGGACTTAAAATAAAATATTTTGACTTAACGAATGCTAACCAATGTTTGTAAATCTA